TGGTGTTCTTGACCGCATGATGAAGAAGCTGGACCTCAACAGTGATGGGCAGCTAGATTTCCAAGAATTTCTTAACCTTATTGGCGGCTTAGCCGTACCGTGCCATTCCTCCTTCCTGTCAGCCCAGAAGCGTTTCTGAAGGTCCCTGGGCCTGGCCTTACACCTTCCCCTGCCAAATACTCAGATATCACCTCCTTCCGGCCCACACAGGCCCTGAGCCGAGCCCACCACCGCCCCATGTAGCCCCTTCTGCTGGGAGTAATAAAACCAGATTTTTTTTAAGCATACACTGGAGAGTCAGAAAATGTGTTCAAGGGAGTGTGGAGCATGGGGGGAGTGGAAGCTGATACCAACAACATCCAAGTACACAGCAAAGATACCTCTTTGGTGAGCACATAATTGGGACTAAGGTTCCAAACAGAATCGTCTCCAGACTGCTGGAGCAATGTCACTTACTGTCGTCATTCACTCATTAAATATCTGTCCACCCCTGCCATGGGCACTGGCACAGGCCTGAAGGAGGCAGTCAGCAAGACTGCATGGTGCTGCTTCTCTAGCTGGGGAGAAAACAAGGGACAAATAAGCAAGCCAGGAAACAAAGGACTGTCACTGTGGCAGACCCCAGAAAGGAAAGACAAAGAGGAAGATCATGTTTCCGAAGGCCCTGAGGGAGGGTGCCGTTCTGGGTGTCAACATTTGTGCAGAGATATGAGGGGCAGAAGGCTCAAACACTTGCTTTGGCACTTCAGGAAAAAGAGCAGCAGGGCAGTGTCAGGTGACGAGGTGCCGGGGTGGCTGAGGAGGCTGAAGGAACCTGGGCGAGTCAAGGTCCTCATGCTTAGCTGTGGATTGCCTTTCTTAGGCTTGGTATAAGCCAATGTCAGCCAGTTTAAACTAGCTGAAGTCTCTTGGTTTGTTTTTGATTTTTTTTTTTAGGAAGGAATAGCCCAAGCTGGCCCCAAACTCAAGATCAACTCCTTCCTCAGCCTTCTGAGTGTTGGGATTATTGGCAAATGCCACCTGAGCTCAACACTAATTTTCTGAACCCCTTGATAAGGCAGCAGGGAGGTTTCCTAGAGAGGAAAACCAGAATACCAACATCACATCGTAGGAATGAGCGAGAAGGCTGAGCCAGTAGTCAGATGACAATAGAAAGGGGAGGGAAAAGGCAGTTTTTATCATCCAGCAGTCAGGGGTGGGAAGTTCAGGGGAAACATGCTGTGTCCGCAGGTAACCCCTGGCTTCTATCCACCTATGTGAGTTTTAACTAGCAAAACTACCTGCATCACAGCTTACCCCTGTAAATGGAATAGATGAGACCATTTTTTTTTTTTTTTTTTTTTTATGACATCATTTCTGAGCTACTTTTTGACCACAACATTCAGGCAACAAGTTCAATGCCTCAGGCTAGCAAGTCCCCATTTTTCAAGTAGAACTATAGCTTTTAGATATCTGAATTCCATCATTCGTTGCCAGCACAAGAAGAAAAAAAGCAGTAGCCAATAAACCCTCCATATTCCCTTGACGAACCAATTGGGAAATCTTTACCTCTCGGTATCCTTAAGTTCTGACCAAAAGATCTAACGGGCAGTGCTGGCACACTCCTGCGTTTCCAGCAGCTCAAGAGGCTGAGGCTGAAGGATCACAAGCTTGAGGTCAGTCCAGGGCACACATATAGCAAGAGCATTGGGGGGGGGGGGGAACTTGGACCAACCAGAACCAAGTTTCTAACTCAAGATTCAAATAGCAAAGCCCTATCTATGGACTGCCTCCTGGAAGGAAAGTGAGTGGTAGACTCCAGGAGGAGGCTGTGTTGTGCTGGAGGTGCTGTTGGGATGTTGGCAGTAGCCTCTAGGCATTTGGGTTTTTTTGTTGTTGGGTTTTTTTTGTTTTTGTTTTTGTTTTGTTTTGGGTTTTTTTGCAGAACCAGGGATTGAACTCAGATTTGTTTACACTCAACTTGAGAAAGGAGGTAGAGGGTCTGGGGGTCAACAAGATTTAGCAAAAGAAAACAAGTATACTGACATCGTAGGAATTAACTAGTTACAAAGATACCTTTCCAGACCCCTAAGTCCTACCTTCCTTCCCATCATTTAACTTTACTTTTTCTTTTCTGATTTGTTTGTTTAATTTAGGGCAGGATCTTCAGGGTGTACAGGTTCTCACTACATAAATCAGACTCATTGATTCTCCTGTGTTCAGCCTCCCAAGTGCTGGGGTTGCAGGTGCGCGCCACCGCACCCAGTCTCAGTCGCTCTCTCAGTGCGCCCCAGGGGGCGGGGCTGGCATGGCACAGCAGGGACCGAACCCCAGCTGCTGTGCTCTGCCTAAGCAGGCACTTTAGTCTGCTGAGCTATCAGGCCGGCTCCCCATCACTTAACTTTCCTGAGAGTCCACTACATGTACTATCATTACTTTCTACTTTAAAACCACTCCCATAATTTTAGCTTCTGCTAAAGTTCAGAGGTTGGTACCTTTTTTCTAAACTCCTTGACTGTTTTACCTGTCTTGGCTCCATCCTCAGTCCCCTTCCTTGTGGTTTTAAGATAGTGATCAACAAATCTAGGCTCCAGGGGCTGGTGAGATGGCTCAGTGGTCTAAAGCACCTACTTACAACAAGCTTAGCAAAGCACAGGGACCGCGGTTCAATCCCCAGCACCACATGCCAGCCAGCCCTGCCCCCTGGTGGGCTGAGCTGGCCACACACACACACACACACACACACACATAAATAAATAAAATTTAAAAAAAAAACAAAAAAAAACAAATCTAGGCTCCAATCACTCAGATTAGAATTCATAGGGAAAGAGAAAAAAAGCAATCCTCTCTATCATAGAATTTTTAGCAAAGGTGCTGAGATTCTTAGATCATGTGACCACCTGTAGAGAGCCCGTTCCAGTCCTCATCTTGGTCCAAGAAGTTTACATTTATAACCCCATGGATAAGCTATTGGAAGTCAAATTAATTCCATTTCACCACTTGCAGTGCAACCCATGGTGAGAATAAAAACACTGAGGCATATTTATAGTTATGGGGAGCCAGGCGTCTAGTGTAGCCATGGCGATGGCTATTCAGAATAGAGGCCTAGGGCAGGGAGATGGCTCAGTGGAATAAGCGCTTCCCTGGCAAGCAGAGGGGCCTGAGTTCAATCCCCGGTTCCGCAAAAAAAAAAAAAAAAAACAGAATAGAGGCCTTGTCCCAGTGCTAAACCCAGGTTTTATTCAGTCATACAGGAGGAGTGGCTTGAGGATAATTGACTGAGAATGGCAGGAAGTAGGTGAGTACTGTGAGCTGGGCTGGGCAGGGGGCCTGCATTTACCTCTGCAATATGCAGAGAGGGATATGCAGAGAGTAACCTGTATTACACAGCTGAGATAGCATCTAATGTTTTGGGGTCGGTGCTTCAGCTCTGATGTGTAATCTTTCAAGCCCCGGGAAGTCATAGCCTCTATCTCAAGGCTCCATCCCAGCTGACAGCATGGAGCATTGGTTCTTCATCCTGTCTTGACCTGGCTCATATTAAAGAGCAGCAGGTGGGGCTTATCAGGGAAACATGTGTGCCATCTTCAAAAACTACCACTAGCACCTCAGCTAGACCAGTATGCATTGCTTAAAGTCAACTAAAGGGATAAAAAAATCTAACCAGCTCTACATATCAGTACGTGGAAATAGGGTCAGGCACAGCCAAAATGGAGACAATTGCTCTTCTTTCAAGGAGAGTTGTTCAGGTGGTCCTCCACAACCAACCCGAGGCCAGTCACTGTATCCAGAGGGACCCAGGGGACTGATTAATTTAGGCCTGATGTGTGTTCTTGACTCTTAGGCTTAGGGTTCTCTTAGAACTGGGAACCTCCTACCCAAACTATGAAAAGCAAGAGTTAGAAAGAGTAGATCATGTGTTGTTTCAGAAAAAAAGGGTAATAATGCTGTAAGCACAAGGAACAAACACACAGAACACATGACTCAAATACAACAAACACATTCTAAAGTAGACCACATCTTTCTCCCAGGATCTGACCTTCTTCCTTCCTAATTGTTGTGAATTGCATCATGATTATCTATCCAACTGTCCAGACCAGGAACAATCCTAGATTTCTCTTTCTTACTGACCATGTCCAAATGATTGAGCATCACCTCTTGCATAATCATCTGTTCCTTTCCACACTTATTGCCTTATTTTAGGCTCTTCATTGACCTTCTGTATGAGTTAAGGTTCACTACAGGCACAGATTTAATATAAAATATATCTGATCATAGAAAGAATTTACTATATAGGCTTATAATGGCCACCTGAAGAATCAGGAGTGGAAGAATGCAAAGGGGCCATCTGTGTTCTGGAAGACCAGAGGAGCTAGTCAAAGGTCAAAGGCCTGGAGCTCATTGGATAGTCTGGGTGAATTCATGTGGGAAAGACAGTGTCTGCTTTGGGAGGCTGAAGAGTCCATACCAGAAGGCTGGAGCAACTGAAATATCTAAAGGCAGGGGCCGGGGAGATGGCTCAGTGGAATAAGTGCTTCCCTGGCAAGCACAAAGGCCTGAGTTCAATCCCCAGTTCTGAAAAAAAAAAAAAAAACCAGATATACACAAACGCAAGCCTACTGGAAAACACATTCCAGTATTTGAGAGAACTTCCAAATTTGAAAAAAAAAAAAAAAAAATCAA